AGAGAGAGAGAGAGGGACCACAAGAACATCACATGACGCCCCATGTGGTGGCTCTCTCTTTCCCTCTTTCTCACTTCAATGGCATTGATGGCTTCGACTATGGTTTTTCTTGTCGATTTTTATTTTTACTGTGGTATAACTTCCCTCGTCTTAATTTACTTTTTTATGGGCCACTGTTTCCATCTTGCTTGCATGTATTTATGTTAAGTTTGTACCCTGATCATGGTTCCATCAGTTATTTTTGTTGTTAATTAATATCTAGACTCATTGGGTCTTGATGGCATACCATTTAGGGATTTTCTAGTATTTTGTTCCTCATTTAGCTATTCTCTTCTTTCTTGTTATAAAATTTTGGTTCAGTTTATTTTTTGAAGCTTGAATATTCTGTAATGTGTCTGCATTCTGTTGTAATGGTGAAAAGATATTAGCAAAAACTGGACTAGGGAATTTATACATTTTGCAGTTATATGTAGCTTTTGATTGTCTAAAGGTAACTATCATAGTGTACTTTACATGGGAGGGGGTGAGGGAAGTGGCCATATGGCTTTTTTTTCTTGATTATGGTACCTTATTTATTTATTTTTTCCATGATCCATGAGAACAGCACATGACCATGTGGTGGGTCTTTCTCTCTCTCTCTCCTACCCCCCAACCCCCCCAAAAAAATAAAATAAAAAATCACCGTTTATCATTTAATTGGGGTGTGATGCCAATGGACTACGGTTTCCTAAGTCCATTATATTATAGTGGCGCTTTCTGCCTTTCATTTTATTTTTATGGGCCACAAGTTGTGTGCTTTTGTGAGTATTTCGTGTATTTTATGATCATGATCTCACTAGCTAATTCAGGGTTTCATATTATCTACACAGCTGTTCATGGATTCTAGTGAAATAAGCACTGATGGCTAAATGTTTCATAATTGGAAAAAGGTAGTACTGTTGATCAAGTGATAATGGACATGAGTGGTTTATAATATATGAGTTTCTATGGAAACTCATGCTAAATCTAAAGATGTAAACAAATACAAAAAAATTTACAATAAATCTTCATTATAGAAATTGAAACACATATTCTTCTTGGCTAGTTATAGTTTAATATTTTGGTTTCCACTGTCTTTTCACCGGAATTATTTGGTCTTGGTTTACATTGCTTGGGTGTTCTATCACCTGGAAATATAAAATATCATGGGGAAAAGAAAAAAGAAACTTTGAAGAAGTTCTACGTTTTAGCACTGCTGTAGCAATTTTGAATTTCTATATAGTGATTCTCCAAACCACTATGATTTATGATTTTTGTTAGGTTTATAATAATTATTGGGCATTCCCTTTTCCCTGCAGACTTGGGATTTTTCTTCAATGAGAGTCAGAGAAAACGATGACCATACGGTGCTGGAAACTGGATATGGTATTCATGATGCAGCTTTTAGGATGAAAACTTATAATGAGTTGGTTGAAGGGACATCCTTGGGAAACACAAATTGTTTAGAAGACTTGTATGACTTGAATTGCTCTTCAACACAAGATGATATATCATCCTCCGAATTCAGACTTATTCCCTCACAAGATGTACGTGTATTTATATATTATTTCATGGTTACAATTTTGGATGTTGTCTTATATGATTTTTTTTTTCTTTTTATACATTTTTAGTGTTTTGTAGGATCCACACATTCTAAATAGGAGAATACACCTTTGCTTCAAACATATTGCAAAAATATTATCATTTGTGTAGTGTGTAAGAATTGCTCTATCAATTATCAAAGCAAAATTTCAATACGACCAGACTTGGCAAAGCAAGTAGCCAGCAATTGAGAGATACCATGTCTACTTCTGATTTATTTATTTCAATGGGCAAAGTACTATTGTAAAGTTGGTAATGGCTTTCTGCTGGCACAATATTTTATGCTCATTTCTTGTATTGCCATCATAACCTACTTCTGATTTAGACATACCTATAATTGGAATATGGAATTTGGTGTTCCAATATTCAAAATGATATTCTATTACACCACAGTAATTTATTTCAAACAATTTTTATAGACAGAAGTGTGCTCATGAGAACTAGGTTTTTTAATCATGAAGCAACTTGGATATGAAAAACTGCATTCTCTTCTCTCTTTGATGAAAAGTCTCTTTTGGTGGAGTTATTTGTGTTTCGAGACTCTTTGCATGCTTTAGCACTAGTAATACTTTGTTATTCCTAGAGCACAACTTCCGAAGAGCATCTGTAAAGCACTTTGTTGGGTAAGAGGATTGAGATATCATACATAAAGTTTGGTTTCAGAAAAAAATTAGCTTTGTTTTGTATGTTTATTAGAAATATCTTGGTAATGCACATCCATTATGTTGGATTTTATGATGGTGTTCAAGCTTATTATTGTCTGCTCTGTTAATATCAAACTCACAAAAGATTTATTTTGCATGAATTTGGTGCATTCTTTTGAAGTATTCCCAAGGATGGGATTATTCAGATATGTGGTTTGTTACCCATTTCAGACTCGATTTTTAAAGTCATGCTTTGTGTTCCTGATACTGTATCAGGTAGGGGGACCTTGCTTTGATCATTGGATCCTGTGTGTTGTAAGGGGAGGGGAGAAGGATCATGTTTTGCAGTTTGTACATTATGCATGCATAATATAGTTGTTATGGTCCATAAACATTGCATTCTGAATATATGCTGTTTGGAACTGCTTGACCACAAAGATCTCAAGCCAATGGGATAAAACTAGTGGTAGCTGTCTCTTAGGATTAGGCTAAGTTCCATGTCTGCTCTCTGAGGCTTTAGCTGAAATGTTGAGGTATGTGTTAGCTTCCTATCTTTCATTTTATTTATTTGTTTATTGTTTTTTTTTAAGAGGTAAATGGGATTCCTTTTAGGTTTGATGTCAGAGAATTAGGGCGGGAATTTCTCGCAAATTCCTTTGTTTTAAGTGTTCTGATGGAAAAAGCGGTAGAGATTCGTGGGGAGATATTTGGGGTTTAGGGTGGATTCCCTTGTAGGTTCTACGAGAGTGCATGATCTCTCTGAACCTTTTATTTGTTGGAGTTTTATTCTGTCTCTTCTCTATATCAGATCTCTAGCATGCATGTATTTTTCTTTTTTCTCATTCCCTTTTCTGGAATAATTGGTAACCGTTCCCTCCCCTTTCTTTAGCAAAGAACTATGGACTTGAAGAACAAATGGCACAATAACTCGACCAGCATGGCGAGTAAAGAACAACCACCATCTGGGAGAACTCCCACACCTCTTCTAAGGACCTCAAAAGCCTCCTTACCCCAATCGACAACCAGTTCAAGGGCCAGTGATAGCCATGCAAATGAATCTAGCCCTCTTGTCAAAAGTGATACATGGAGGACTCCTTTGAAGGTCGACAGCGAGCTCTTAACCAAGAACCGTGGCAATGCCATGCAGCGTTACATGGAGAAAAAGAAGACCCGCCGGTAAATTAGCATTTTCGCTCTTTCCTTGTGTTGTAAAATTTTTGCCTCTCTTCTTATATTCCTCACTGTTTTGCTCTCTTCTTTATTTTCACTTTCTTTTTCCGTGCGAAATATAATTTGAGCATAGGGACTTGTTTGTAGGTATGATAAGCACATACGCTATGAGTCTCGGAAAGCAAGAGCCGATACCAGGAAGCGAGTTAAGGGGCGTTTCGTGAAGGCAGCTGGAGGCATGGGTGCTGAAGTGGGCAGTTAAATGATCTACATTGCTTCTTTGTATCATAATTTGTTTGTGTATTTTGGTTTTTGTGAGGAATAAATGATATGCCATGTAAGTTTCGGGGTTATTTTTATCAATTTATATTATGTGAATTTTTATATATATATTTTTATTAGATTCTCCTAGTTTTTAAGAATATGCATTCAAAATTTAATGTGATTTGGATTTATATAAAAAAAAAAATGAAAATTTAAATACAAAATGTGGTTGTGGCAAATAGATTGAGTTCAGATTCAATGTGGGTCGTTGGCTGACTTTATAGCTGTTAACCTGTATTAGTACGGGCTGACAGGATCCTTTCCTTATATACATGCATGCATTTATGTATATAGACATTTGTATGTATATATATGCAGGCGCGTCTCTTTATCGTTGTATATATAAACATACGAGTATGGTGTATGCACGTTTGTGTTCATATTTTCACTTTTAACTATTGTTATAATGGGTCTATTAAGGTAATTTGGGATTATGGAGGTATAGACTTTATGTTTTTACATATTTATCTGGGGACTTGGGAGTACGTGCATTTTCAAACACCACTTTTATCCTACGGTAATTTTATTATCACTAATGTTAATTTTTTATATGGCCTAGGCTTTATGGTCAAAAGTATAGGGTGCGGTTTGTATAGAGCCAAGGCTCTAAACAATCAAAGGAAAGTGCACTTTCAGTAAGTGTTGAGAAATGACTTTCAATATTGGATAATTTTGAGATAGATTTACAATATATTTTTATCTCTAATTATAAAATTTAAAACCTTTCAATAAAAGTGTAGTTATAGCGAGTCAACCCTCGAGTTGATCATCTTGATCTTAATAATTATGGATCAAGAGAAAAATAGATTTTAAATTTTAGAAGTATAGTATTTTGTTCTTCATTATTTGGACTCTCAATTATGTAGTGTTTATAGATCCGTTGGAAAAGATAATGCAGATATAGAAATATGCTTTGAAGCCATCATATAGGTTCTGGACGTCTTTCCTGCAGTTTTTGGCAAACCTTTTATGTGCGGGTTTACTTTGAAATGTAAAGCTGGCATCTGATGTGTCCCTGGCTAGTCTAACATGGATATTCCTCGCGGGGCTTTAGCATGATGGAGGAAGTATTATTATGGTGGGACCTCTGTACAGTGAGATTATTATTATTTTTTTTATAAGGAGGTCATAATTGCTGCAAGCTATTAGATGTCAAATTGGATGGCTTGAAGTATGATATTTAAGATTTTTTTTTTTTTTGAACATTTAATCTACTCAATGATATACAACCGTTCGATTTGAAATCTTATGGACAAGATTGGTTGTGACCTCTGTATTAAAAGTAGATTATCTCTTCATATGGTTTCCCTAAGACTTATTGAGACTCATATCGATCTACTTTTTGGTCCATGATGACTTCAAAGGTGGATAATTTGTCTGCCGGTCCACATGAATAGGGTGGACCTCTCTCCAAAGGCAGAGTATTTGCGAGTTTGGATTGAAAACAGACTTGTATTGCCACTAATTGTTTTCTTATCATTAATTTCGAAAATAGAAAAAATAAAGCCATATTTATTTATGATTAGAAGGTTTCTGCATGTATTGGTCTAATTATGGAGCAAGAAAAGTTTGGAGGTTCAAGATAATCACTGTGTTAATGCAAAAACACATGATAATCACCGAGGCGATGTAAATTGCAAATTTTAAAACTCTCGTGTGCAAACAAAGAGCCTAAGGTGGCGTGTCCGGTCATGCCTTAAGTCTATTCTCTCTCCTCTCTTTCTCTTATTTCCTCTTACTTTCTCTCTCAACATCGTCTTTTTTGCATAGTAACTCAGAACCACAACAAATATGCGGCCGGTCTTTCTCTGCGCCCTTCTCTCCTTTACCGCACGATCAGTCTCAGAGTTGCGTCACCTGCGACCCCGTCTCTCTTTGCGCCTTTCTCCCCTTTGCCAAATGACAAGTCTTGGAGCCGCAGCACCTGCGACCCCGTCTCTCGTTGTGTTCTTCTCTTCCTCATAGCAACCCGGAACCGCAACAAATATGCGGTCCCCTTATTTTCTCCTCTTTCTCTTCTCTCCTTTGATGTGTGCATAACCGCAACAAACATACGGCTTCATCATCCTCCCCTCTATTCCTCTTCTCACCTTTACTTTGAGCGTGACCACAACAAATTTGTAGTATCGTTCCTTCTCTTCTGTATTACGCACCATTTCATACGGAGCTGCGACAACGCGCAACCTCATCTTCTCATAACCCCATTCTTCATGTCATTTTTCTTTGTTCCTTCTTCTATACTGATAGTATCCTGCTAGCCGTCATACGCTCGATTCGATATCACTCAGAGTAGTTTCAATGGTTGTAACACTCAGATCACCACTCTAACTTCCTCTTCGTACAGTTTAGTTGAGCTGCGAGAGACACACACGTTCCCACCCTCACTAACTCTAATGGAGTCATCCTGAGTTGGTAGTTAAGACAATTTTGATTCTTTAGTCGTTCTTATTACCAAATTTCGTGTTTCGATACAAGATAGAGACTTGAACAAGGCTTTTGCTACATCTCTTCTCATACATTTTCTTTGTGAAATTCCAGAGAGCAATTACAGTGAACTCATCTCCTCTCTACTCATTTTCATCTCTCTCTCTAAACTACTCAAGATTATGATGTCCACAATTGGCTTTAAGCTTGGGGCCATAGCATTTTGGAGTATCAAAAGAGACTCCTATGTTTTCTGGTATCCAGATGACGAACTAACTTTTTTTATGTACATCTATTACAATATTGAAAGTAAGTAAATATCATCTTGAGATAGCGTCCCTACGTGCTCGTGCTCGTAAAAAAAATATTTTTAAGCTTTTATTATTCTGAAATTGTTCTATCTTTTGCCCCTATTACGCCGACTGAATTTCACCAACAAAGTAGCTAGGGCCTAATTCCACCTGTCCACTATAATAATTTCCAATTGGATCGGGCTACATGACGGATAGAAATTCATTAAAAAAAAAAAAAAAAGCAAAAAGGTGAGCGATTTGAGGCAATTCTTGGGTAGTTCAAGCAAAAATTGCACACCAATCGATGTCGATTCGGATCCGGATGTTTTTATTAATGATCGGAACTTTTCAATCAGTGAGTATCTCCATCACTTGACCGGGTTTGTTCAGTAGTGCTGTCTCGTTCTGAATTTAATCCACTGCCCTTTATCTGTTCACGTACGTGCACTTGTTCATTAGAAATGGAAGCCTACGATCTGGTTCCTTCTCCAAATATTTTATAGACAGCCTTTGCTTTCTTTGAAAGAAACCTGAGTATATGAGAAGCCAGGATGGATGTCTTGTATCTGAAAGCTCTTTCCCTTTGGGACCACACTAAAATCTATATGATTCTATGTGTGGGTTTTTCTATTCTTTACATTTAAATGGTTGGAAATTTACGTCTGCAACGTTATTTTTCATTGTTATTACTGTCTGGTCCCAAAATATATATTACTTATGTGGAGGTCCTCACTCTTTTATGTTTCTTCCAAGTTTGCCCCCGGTCTGATGTTTTAAACCGCATATTAGATTATTTATTTATTTATTTATATTCATAGGGTTGTTTTATGTAAAAATCATCGAACTACGACCGTCCTACACACTTTAGTAGATGCGATGTTCGAAATATCAGCCCTCCCTAAACCTTTAAAAAATGTGGTTTAAAGGTGGTCTGCATTAATCGGTAAAATCTTAATTAGTGCATGTTATGGGAGCCATGTTACCGAGTACTAATACATATACAATTTTAATTGGTCATGTACAATCTTAATTGGGTGCTTGTCAAGAGAACCATGTTACATGTATTAATGCACGTAGACTCATACAATGTTATTAGAAAGGCAGTTCGATGTTTTCTAACATTGGATCGCCCTACAAAATGGGCGTTCAATGCTTCTAATATTAAACTGACCTATGAATATCAAAAAATTGTAAAACTGAATTTAATATGCAATTTGGGGGCAAACTTAGAAATTTTTTTTAAATAAATCTGGGGGAGAAAAACCTATGCGTAAATATTGTATATTTTTGGACTATTACATAATAAAAAAATAAAACGGTATGGACGTAATTTTCCCAATGATGATTGCCTTGTCCACGGGTATTCTTGAACTTAGTTTTTCTTTAGATTTAATGGATTTCTCACTTTTTATTTTCAATTTATAAGTGGCCATTAAAAAGTGCGAGAATTGCGCCAATGTTATTGTACATTAAGGGACCGTTTGGATACTTGGAAATACATTTCTAGAAATATATTTTAGTGGGAATGACACATTTCTGGTATTTGGATCGAAATTTTGGGACTGAAATGTATTTCCGCCCGCAATCATTTTCTTCATTTCAACTCTAAAATAAAAAAATCCATATCATTATCTTTATCCTCTTTAATTGATTTCCAACTAGATTTCCTTGTTATAGAGACATCCAGTTTATAAAATATAATTAATTCCACAAAAACTGCTCTTAGAATTAGAGAGAGATACTATATCAAATTTTAGGTTTTAGAGAATGAAAGATGGCACCTACGAAATTTCATATCCATACAATTTATATAAGAAAAAATAAAAATAAAATACTTCGAGACGTCAAATATAAGATCCAATGGTGAGTGACCCTCTTGATCAAAATTGGATGGCTGGATGGTAAAGGCAGCATAGATCTTTTATGAGGTAGGGAAGTGTAGAAACCTTTCTCAACAAAAAAAAAGAAGGGAAAATTACAAAAAACCCCAAAAACCACACTTTCTATGCAACTTATCCCAACCTTACTTTTTTTTCACTTTTTTTTCCCGAAACAAACTTTCTAGGCAAATACTTCTCAAGGGAAAAAATTCATTTTTTTAAGATGGAAATGCCCTTCCCATATACAAAAATCACTTTTTCCATATTTGAAGTTGACTTTTGAACCCTAGTAGCACATTGCCAGAGTGCATAAGTGCCGAACCGTCCTAAAACAACTACCGGACCGAAAGTGAGTATTCCCGGGCCGCCTTTTACATAGTGCCGGAGTCCTGGAATCCAATAACATCTATTGCTGACAGCCCTTTCCAACTGCCGGACCGCATTTTATAGAAAGTGTATTTTGGAGAAAGAAAGTGAAAAAAAAAGTTAAGTTGAGGGTAAATTGGATAGAAAATGTAAACTTGTGGTTTTTATGTAATTTTTTTTTAAAAATATGTCAAATCTATACTGTTCAACTAAGACAAACATAATTCTACAAATAAAATTGCAAGTTCATATAAATTGCGCCTTTTAGAAAAGACAGGTAAAAGTATCTCATAATAGCCTCCAAAATTTTCAAGGCGTGGGCAGCTGGTTGAAGGTCATGGATTTTCTCGATAGACAGTTGGATACCTTCGCTGAAAAGCCAGCTGCCCCTTGGATTAGCACGTTAGGGTCGGAGGGCAAAGTCCTTCAAATCAACATAAGATACATATTAGGTAACACTTTAGAATCGAAGTAACATTCAGGAATTACAAAGAGAACAGGTTGTCTAGATGATCGAAATCCACATTTAGAACTTCAAAGAGAGAGAGAAAGAAAAAAAAAACTATCAGGTGATCTACCCAATCGTCATTGTTTCTCTTGAACGTATATTTCGGCATGTTTGGTTCGTTGGAAAGTCACTCTTGAGAAATCCCTCTCCAATACAGAGATTCGTCACAATATAAGAAATCGGATGCCTTACTCCAAAAGATGTTCTACTCCATTGAGAGTAAATGAACAATTTACTCCCTCAGATAAAACCTGAATTATAATTATTTTTAGGACCTCGAATTTTGGAGTTGCAACCTCTCCAACCTGTAGATTAATCTCAATAAGAAATAATTTTCTAATTGTACCCTCTATACGCTTGGAAAAAATAACGTCTCGAGATTGAGTAGTGGTCATCCAGATTTTAGATGGTGAGATCTAAATTTTAGAAAGCTCAAATTTCAAATTGTCTATTTGAGAGTAATCATATAAATGTTGACAAGGAAAAACAAAATCTTTTATTCCAATTGCATGATCCTTTCCTCGTTCAGGCCATTTTAAACTCAATATTGATGAAGCTTTTTTCCAAAAGCCAAGACAGACAAGAAGGGGTGGGG